GTTGCACAAGCTTCAGAAAAACCTTTCTTCAGAGATTCAATGGCTTCTTCAACACCTGTTTTCTTGCCAAGAACACAAATGTGTACAATGTCATCTGTATCATTTGCCCACGGGTAAGAATTTGTTGTCTCCCGGCACACACCACCTGTTGAAATTCTTAACCTCTTAAAACGAGATTGTATTTTACTGATTAACCCACTCTTTGGGTGCACAGGAGATAATTTGTGCTTGGCTATCAATTTGTCGATCTCTTGTTTGAAGGCAGCTGTTAATGCCTGATCTTGCTGGAACACGACAAATCGGATATCCTGCAATTTAGAGCCAGGGTTAGCTTGGCAAAAGCTGATCGTTTCTTCTAACATGATTCTTGAGGCTGCGTCTCGTGGGAAGTTGAGTTTCCCAGTGCCTATGACAGGAAATGCAATGGACCTTACTCCAAGCTGTTCACCCTTCAGCAGACACTTTTGGACGATGGCCCGTAGAGTCTAAAGCAAAAAGAAAGGGCGAAAAATGGCTTTGAAAGTGGACTGTCTAATGAGCCAGTAAAACCCCACCAGCAATGTTCATGCAAAAAAATCTAGCCCATTTTCTTTTTAAATTCGTCGCAGGATTGTCATCTCCCTCGATCTCCCCCAACGGTAACTATCCTTGCTCTTTTGTCGTCTTGCCATTGGTATTAAAGATGATTTCCAGTCCGTACTGCGCACTCTCGAGAGTTTGTTTGCATTTTTTGATTTGTTTCATGTTGTAAACATTTCGCAACTACTTACACGAAGTAAATTCAAAGTTTCAAAACAACCGCCATTATGGATGCGAAGCGGTCGAAGCTTTATACTATGTTCTTTCTCATGTCACTTGTTGAAACAACTTCGCAGCCGTAAAAATCCATGACGCTGTTGGAAAAAGAACTTGAAAGGCCTCAAAGATAGGCATGCGGTTCGTAACGAATAACATCGATTCGAATTCCATCGAGTGAGATTTATAATGTTTATAAACATTAGGGTGCTGAGACTGCGCAGTACGAACTGGAAATCATCTTTAACTACCCTGAAAGATTGGAAGAATCCAAGAAAGCTTTGGAAACACTCGCCTGCAGGTCGTGTCCCTCATTCTCCCACCCGTCTACTCGTGTTTCCATAACTCGCTGGAAACAAGGAAATGAAAGTGTTTTTTACTTCACGTTATTTATCTTTGATTGAGAGGTAATGTTGCGCATTGCCTGAAAATTATACACTGCAAATGTACTTACCACTTCCCCTTGGCCACCTTGCCACTGACAACAGTTTGTGTGGATCACGTGGTTGGTCAAAGGTAAACCAGAATTGACAATAATGTCCCCAACGTTTGGATTTGCCATTGCAAGAACATCAACATTGACCATCGCTTGACTGGAAGCTCCGACTGAACTGACCAACACATCAGCCTGCAATTCAAGTTTAAAAAATTCATTCGGGACGAAAAAACGACAGAAAAAAG